CTCAGTGTCTGCTTTGGCTTGCTTCAGCGTTTGCTGCGGCTTGTTGGAGCACATGGCTGCCCATCGTTGAAATCGGCGGGGGAACTGTCGTCTAAACAGTGGTGGTGGTGGATGTGGCGACCACATGTCGGGGCGCTAGGCCTTGGTTCTCCTGTCTCTGTCCGATGGATTTCCAAGTGACCAACCATGCCGATGCGTGATGTGCATGAGTGGTGGTGGTATTGATGGCAGGATAGGGGTTGGAAGATGCTGCTGGTAGCGCTCATGGGAAGTCGGGGGGATTGGAGTTACGAGGTGTGCGAAAGACGTGTCAGCATCGCGTCACAATTCTGCTTTCGTTAAAAAACGCATGTCACTGAGTAGGTGCTTGTGGTGAGTGAATGCGCCGCAGTGAGGGCGCGCGAAGGTGGTGGTGTCTGTTGTCTGAGTTTTGGTACTCCAGACACGAGTTCGCCAGTGTGTGTGCCATGGAGTCGCAAGTGACTGACGAAGTGACATGTTTTCTCTTAAAAAACTGTCTGCTCCTCTTTGCTTTGTTCCACTTCATTACGTCGTGTCCTTTGGCATCGCCAGTAAACTAAAATATTATTCTTTCATATCACGCCACCACACGCATGTACACAAGGAGGGAGCTCAAATATGCACACCTACATTTCCATCAAGTAAGCTATGCTGAACTGAACGGAAGCCGATGCGTTAAGTGTATATGCGATCGCAATGACCAGAGGTTAGAATCCAGTCCCCATTGCCGGTCCACCAATCTCTCCGTGCGATGTAGAGGCCTCTTAACTACATATAGTGGAAAATAAGAAAATTATTGATATATGGTTTGGATGCCTTTGATAGCATAGCGATAGTAGCAAAAATGTCCGACAAACGGTTATTTTGTTGTTCGAAACAGGAAATCAATTTGTTTGGAGAAATGAGACTGAAAAGTCATATTGACAAACAATTGTTTTCAGTCATTCATCATCAAGCCGATACAATGACATGGAGAATAAAAACGGTCATTTAACTGCGCCTTTTGACAGCCGAAACTGTTTTTTGCTAAACGGATTGTCATTACCTCTGCTGTGGCTTGCACTCTTTTGCGCAGGATTTTGTGTCGGCGTGTGGTATATGGCTCGAAAGGCCCCTCTCGTGTCCACTGGGTGGTTCCTATCAATTAGATGGGTGAGGAGTGAGCTTGAAATCGATCGATTCTTTCCTTTACTGAGCCAGGTTGGTATGTGCTCGCGTATTCTCTTCCCCAGACGTCGCGTTACTTAAAGAGTCCCACCAAGAAGGACTTTTATCCGACTAGGAGCTGGAGGGACTAAGGCCGGTTGGTACTACAATACCAAGAATGTATGGCCTCCCTTAAATTCATAAACAAGGCATGCCACTTCGTCCTATCCTGAACGTGAGAACCTAGCCGTACCACGCCATGGCAAAATGGCTTGTCGAATATGTTTGACAATATGAATTTTCAATCGTAAAATGGGAAAATTGCAGAAATTTGACTGCACATAAAATCTCGCCAGCATCCTTTGCAAACTCGCTGCGACTCAGGTAGCAGTGCCGTTTTGTTGAAGTCCCTAGATTGAAGGTGACAGGATCGATGTTTCAGTTTGGACCGCGTAGCATATTGCAAAAGGCTTTTCGTGTGTACCTGAACCCGATGTCAAGACAAAAGTCGAGAATGCCGGAGATGGGGTAGGTCGCAGGTGATGTGCGCGAAACACTCTCCAACACGCGCCACAACAACACCACCTTGCTGCGTAGGCTTTCGCATGGGAGCACCATAAGGGCCGCATTAAGAGGGAGCCATTGAGCCTGACTCTCAGCCCACAGCAGGTCACCCCACTCAACAAAACACACTGGACTGACTATGGTGTTCAAGTTATCCCCTCAGTTGGCAACCCTCCAGGCCACGGCTTTTAGCACACCGTGATACCTTCAAGCATGTCGGATTGTTTATAATGACGAAAGAAATGCGCTGAGGGTCGACCTCACTCTCTCCTCCACCGACCACAGGTGGGTTCGGGCGCAATGCCTGACAAAGTTAAACTGCCCGTGGACGCCCGTTGTCATATAAGCTATCTTTTCATCACAAAATGCACCAGACTTCTGTGAGGACCTCTGAGATTTCGTCATAGACGAAACCATTGTAGTCTGATTTAAGTAAAAGAGTGAGTTCCAGGAAGGAGTTTAGAAAAAAAAATGCGGTCCTAGAACCAATACCACTATTGGCCGTTGATGTTTCGGACTCTCACTCGAACCCATCATTAGGAACAGTCACAGATGGGGTAAGTAGAAGAACAAAGTCTACGGTCTGCATAAGGCGCACTTGCCCTGCAAACACCTGCGTAGTGTAATTAAGCAGCTTTCACTATCATCGCTAGAGGTCTGATGGTTGCTTTTCAACTCAGGTCGGCGTTAGCTAATCGCTGCGATTTCATCACGTGCGTTGGCGGATGGTGGCGGATTAATTAATCCGTGGCCTTAATTTGGCTCGTCATCATACTTGCTGATCACACACGCACGCGTCCTCCCCTCATAACTGATTGCTGTGATCGCCTCTGGCAGGAACCATGCTATTTTTCTCCGTTGGAAACCCTCCAAGTCAGGACTCGTACATGGCTTTGATTGTGCCAGATTTATGTACTGATTTGCCGTGAGGCTACATCCCCCCACAGTGTCGACCTCAATCGTCCTTCTGTGCACCAGCTCGCTGTCCTCACCTGTCAAGCAGCTGGTGCTGAAAGTGGACAGACCTCCAATGTCGTGACCTGAATTGGGAAAGCGAGAGACAGTTCTTGGGTAAGAGGGTTGACTGCAGTCCGGTCAGTTCAAGATTATGCAAACCATTACTCCACTGGCTGTTATCTTTGTCGGTAACCTTTGTTTATTTAACTTACTCGTTATCGTGCAAGTGTCTTGAAGTGTAAAGGCAAGGCGAGATTGTCGTCCTCCAGTGAAGCTCTGATTTTCAATACTTGTCATTACAGCCCACTGGATATAGAACCGTAGTTAGCTGATCCTAAGTTTATTTAGTCGTTCAGTGCCAAGCGACCGTGAGTTCAATGCTCAACCCCTTTTGGGCCGCGGTATGGCTGACTTATTATGATAAATAGCCGTTTCACTTGCCTTCTCCCTTATCAATAGGCCTTTTACACTACAATATCCACTACGTTAATCAGCGTACCTTCAATGCCTTGTAGTAGTTTTTACCTATAAATTCTTTCTACTTAATATTTATTAATAAATGGTGTTTTGTTATGTGTTTGACTCTGCCCGAATTTGACAACGTATTTTAGGAGAACATTACTGAAATTTTTGGGCGATTGATCGGTAAAAAACAGTAGCACGCGTTCAACGGCACAGCAGTATTCTCTAGGCAGGAACTACAGCAGTGCCGACTTGTTGAACCATGAATAAGCTTCTGATAGTTTGAATATTATTCGCTGCGTGATTCCGAATATGACCTATTTCCGCCCGTGTACAGACCATTTAACCACTAGAAAAGGCAGGTGTTCACTCCGAATTTCTACTTTTGAAGGGGAGGCTCCTTATCGGGTCGCTACTGTGTCCAAGACTTTCGTCAGCGGGAGTTTCTCGTGATTTTCATCTTATCCCTGCTTTCCATCATACTCTTTTCTCTTGAGCATTGATCGGAGCTTTATTCATTCCATGCCCTACTCCATTTTATCTTACGCTCTCTCTCTCTCTCTTCTATTCGTTCACCGTAGAATGCCTTTACCGAGGAGTGTATTGCTACCATTTCTAAGTTCCTGGGAGATGACCCCAAGGAGTCGCCGGACTACGCCAGGATTATTAGCGAGAAAAGCACTGAGTAAGTTTTGCCTCCCCTTTCCGTCTCCACACTTCTCTGGTCCGTATTCTTCAGCCCTATGGTAATTTTTGTATGCGCTCTCGTGAGGAGCCCGCTTCTTATTGCGTTGTACGTGGCAGCCGACTTCTTCAGTTTATTCATCTGATGAGACTATCGCAAGGTATTAAGTAAGTTAAACCTTAGCAACTGC